GGGCTACTCTTTTACCAACGAATAGTGGGATTGACCGTCACATTATAACGCCCCCACGGCTGAAAGGGCGAGCATGTTTGGTGGGGCAGAGATTCGAACATGCGACTCTCAGACTGCGAGTCAAGCGCTGTAACCATCTGGCCATGCCGGGCCACCATTGGGCTATCTGCTGTGTCCACCGAGGGGAATCAAATCCCTGAGTTTAACGCTGTAAATCCGAAAACTTACCGCTGTCCCACACGGGGGGTGGGGACAAGAAAGAAAGAAAGAACAATATGTGAAACATGGTACTCTGCTTGATAAACAAGTAAGTTGTAGCGGAAGAGAGATTGTGTAAATAAAGACTGCTCTTCCAAATGTCCACATGGAACGAAGGAAAATGCGATTTTTTTATATACGTAATTTTTTTAATCTGGTATGTTTGGAATAATAGTAAAAATCTGATGATTACGAGTGACATTAAATGGACTTATAGCTCAGTAACATATACATTACAATTTTATTATTACATATAACTACATCATTGATACAAAGAGATTAGGCCTGGTGGTTAGGGTGCTCAACTCGCAATCTGTGGATCACGGGTTCGAATCCCCATCCCACCAAACATGCCGTGGAGGCATTATAATGTGACGTTGAATCCCACTATTCGTTGGTAAAAGATTAACCCAGGAGTTGGCGGTGGGTGGTGTTGACTAGCTGCCTTCACTCTTAACTCTACCCCCTGATAAATTAGGCAAAATTCAAAACCAAACCAAACAGGCCCGTCAAGAGGGCTGGAGAACTGGCTAAACTCCCCCGGGCCAGAAACAGAAAACAAACAAAAACGTAAAAATGAGTGGATTTACACACAAAATCTACGCTGTATTTTTTTTGCCCCCGGATCCCATTCCAGCTTTCGATGGGCCTGTTTACATAGGAAATAAACAGGCCCTTTTATGGGCCTGTTTACATACTGTTTACATAGGAAATAAACAGGCCCTTTTATGGGCCTGTTTACATACTGTTTACATAGGAAATAAACAGGCCTTTTTATGCAGTATCACGAAGTTTGTTATGCGTGTGTGTGTTTTTGCATGTATTTTTAAACAGGTCGTTTGGTGTATATATGCTGATTGAAAGTTGTTATGGTTACTGCCACAGATTAGACGAAGCCAGACATTGGTAAAGTACTGCCACAGATAAGACGAAGCCAGACGATGCCTTTCGTTGATGACCTTTTTTGGTGTGCGGACGTCGACGGGAGGATGGTGGACCTATCTTGCTTGGTAACTTTTTTTGTTTGTTTGTTATTGTTTGCGAACTGTTTTGCCTTGATCAAACTCTTTTCCTTGATAATATATATATAAAATATTATGGCTGGCTTCTAAAGAGTTTGTTTGTTTTGGAATTTCGCGCAAAGCTACACGAGGGCTATCTACGCTAGCCGT